CATTTTTTTCCTCTCCTTTTTTTTGGCTTTCTGAGAGAGAAGCAAGGCCCTGCATAGTCCACCCGCTGGAAACTGTGTTGCTTATGTGTGAAGAACCACATGTCAGCTTCCTGCCATGGAGGGATGTGTGGGTGCTGCTGTTGTTTCTGAAACCATCTCCTGCTCAGCTTCCTTCCCACATGTGATGAGAACAAGCCTTGCTCCAAGCCAGTGCTGTGGAGCCAGAGATGATTGTGTTACAGGCCCTCATCTCATTTGATGTCTTTAGTTGTAGGCAGGGAAGACTTAAAGGAAGCAAGGTAGTTTTGCTAGTTCTTTTCCGTCCTCTCCCACCACCTTTGGGTGCTAGAAGATTCTGTGCATCTGCACGTTGCAGACAAGCTTAGCTGCTGCATGTTGTCATGTCACCCCACTGAGGGCACAACCTCGGCAGCCCAGGCAAGCCCTGCTCGGAATGGCAAGAACCACCAGTCCTCCCCAGGCTGTGGGTGACCGCGCTGCTGGGCTGCGCTCAGGGACTTCCCAAAGAAAGGAAGTGAGCACTGGAAATGCTCCCTGGAGGTGTGGGATACCAAAGCACACAAGCAGCAGCCAGGACTGGCTTAGAACCCTAATGGGTGAGTCTAGGGCATGAGATTAAGAAATCAGTGAGAAATCTTGATACCCTGAGTGACAGGCACTGAGCTCTCTGATTAGGTTCCGGGCCTGACTTGCCATCAGTAGTAGCCATGGACTGCTACCCTGCGTAACACTGCGGAGAGCGCGAGCGCAGGACTCCAGACAGAATTTCCTGATATCTTTAAGTTTCACAAGAGCAGCACCTAAGCTGTGGCCTCTGTTTTTCCAGGTCCGAAGAATGGTTGGGACTCTAGTTGCAGTTGGCCAGGGCAAGTTAACACCTCGTCATATAAAAGAGTTACTGGAGACCAAAGATTCCCGGGCTTTTCCACCAAACGCCATGGCTCCACCATCTGGACTCTTTCTAAAATCAGTGGAATATAATGAAGCAGGTCAGTGGACGTGAGGAACAGCAGATCTAACAGTGAAGGGAGCACAAGCACCCGTGGGGGTTCCTTTATGTTCCGTCTGACCGCAGAGCTCTGGTCACTGACGCCCACATCACGGCGAATGCCCCGGCCTGTAGAGCAGTTTCCGGTGGTTGCTGTGGAAAAGTGGTGTTATTTGTTTTCTTGGTAGATGTCCTCCTCTTACTTACAGGGTGGTAAAAGAGAGGTTGACAATGACTTTGAGGTCTCACATGAATTCTGCTTTCAGTTCTCATAAATTCTTGTCCTATCCCTGACCATGTATAAAGACCAAATCAGCTGTGGTATTGAGGTACCTACAGATCTGTTTCTGGTCACTCACTTCTCTGCTGTTTACAAGAGGACAGAGAACAGATCATCCTTTTGCTTATATGGTGGCTCGCTTAGCGTAACAGCATCTGATCTAAACTGTTTAAGCTTTTTGCTTAAAGAAAGAAAAGGGGGGGTGTGCAAATTTGCAAGAAGACAGCAAGGGGATGTCAAGGAAGTCTGACATCCCTGCTAGGGAGAGCAGGTGTTTAAGACTGCGAGGATTAACCTGTCTCTGACTAATCCAGTGCCCGTGAAATGTGGACACAAGAAACTTTCCAGGCTGCCTTGTCTCAGCCAGACCACAGACAGGGGAACTTAGAGCCTGCTCTCTCTACACACTGGAGCTTAAAGAAGACAGAAGGGAAACGGGAAAACCAAAGGGCAGTGCGAGGAGCTTGAACATACTTGTGAGCACATGGCCCTGCCTTGGGAAGGCGGCTGCTCTCGCTGGTTTTGTCTCTCTCCAGTGGTGCCTCTCCCCACAGTGCTGCTGGCTGTGCCAGCGGGAAGGGAGCCCAGGTGGGAAATGAAGACCACCACGGGTTTTAAGTGCTTTCAGGTGGTTTCAGTGCCATCTTTTTTTCCCCTAAATCAGTGTTTTCTCTTATTCTTCTCAGATTTGAACAGTCCAGTTGCCTCAGGAGAATAGCAGCTCTGTGAGACACAGCCATGGCCGAAAGGACTGTTGTTGTGGACGTGTGGCGGAGGTTTGCCACGCGCTCTTGTCTCAATAAAATCATTGACTGTGACTGTGGGCATCTTCCTATCGTTTGTTCTTGCCCTCTGAGACTCCCAAGGGGAAAGGAAGAACAACTCTATGCTGCTTTCTGACAACTGCTTTTTCTCTTTTTATGAAATTCTGTTGCCCGTCTCTCAAACAGGAGAAGGAAAGATTGGGGCTTGGGTTTTTTGGTTGTGTTTTTTCCCTTATGTGGTGTCTGGAATGGAGGAGAATGTAGCATTTCTTCTGTGCCTCTCCCCTCTGTACAGCCTTTGTACAGCACAGTGCAAGGGACAGCTGTTACTGTTTGATGCAGCAACTTACAAGAAACAGCCTTTGAAAGTACTTGCCATTTCCTCTCCCCATCAACAACCACTCTCTTGTTGAACTGCGGTGGCTTTCACGTTATCCTGTTCCCTGGTACGAGAGGATGTTACAGAGCAAAGTTCCTTTGAGGTCGCTTAAAACCGTGGAAGAGGAGGGCTGAAGCTGCTGTGTTGCCAGTGCGGTTCCTGTTCGTGCTTTTCTGGTCCAGCCTCGCTGGATAAGTACCCTGAAGTGGGGATGCTGCGATGTGCTGCAGTGACTTCTCAACACAAGCAGCGGGGCTTGTCCCTCTGTGTTCCAAACCTTCGTGTGCCCAGATGTTTCCAGAGAGCGGTTTGCCTGAAAGGGAATGGCAGCTCCTCCGCTGCAGGGGAAGTGAGAGTGCAGCTACAGGCCCACTCTGGAGTGTCTCAAGGAGAAGCGCTGGTACAGGCTTCCTGGGCTGGCACAGGGTTCCAGTGGGAACGGGAGGGCAGGGCAGGCTGGAGGGGATCGAGGGTGGCTTTGGGTGCGAGTGTCAGGCATCCTGCAGCAGATTCACAGAGAGAACCAAACCCTGTCCTTGTGCTGGCTGTTGCTGTGCTCTCTCCTCCAGCCTGGGATCTCAGTGACATCTTTTCATCTTCACTTCCTGTGGTTTCTCTCCGTAGAAACGCGGCAGAGCTCTGCAGTGTGACTTGCAGGGCAGTTTGCTCTGGTGTTAACACTCTACGCAGAACAGCTTAGCAGTCACCTCGTAGTAGTGAGGACTCTTTGGAGAGGCCAGTGTACCCCTCTGCAGTGTTTGCAGGAGAGAAGGCGATCTGAGCTCTGGTAAGTTAACTTCCGAACTAAATTAATGCTGAGTCTTTACAGGGCAGAAATCCCAAACAAATAAAATGCTGTTTGAGCGTTAATCAAGCTAACTGCTACTACAGGCATTGCTGCTTTTTGGTTTGGTTTTTTTATAGCTGCAGTGCAAAAATACCTCCTATTGATGTTTCTCCAAATGTTTCCAAACTTCTGGTTACAGTAAAAACCCACTGTGCTTATGGGTTCGTTACAAATCCAGTAATGGAGCAGCCAGGCTCAGCTCTGGGGAGTAGTCCAGCAGACGAACTGGCTACCTCTGCTGTTAGCACAAAGAACTGTTGTGGGGTTTTGTTTTGGTTTTTTAATCCCCAAAACAAATCTGTGTTCTGGAAGAAATAAGAGCCTTCCCCTCACAAAAATAAACCCAAACAAAACTCCAACAAAACACCTCTGGGGAAGCAAAGTGGAGTTTGGAATTTGGTCTGCCTCCATGCTTTTTAAATGGTAGTAAAGGGTACATTATTGTGAGAGATGAAAGGGGCTGTATGCTTCTACAGATCTTGGGACGACGTACGTGCTGTTTAGGAAAATGCTCTCGGTTTGTTTTGGAGCTGTTGCCCGAGAGTGTCTGTGGATGCCCTTGCTGTGCTTGTCTCCTGAGGGGCAGTAGGACATCGGTCTCCTTCACCTGTCCTGCCCCTTTAATGATTTTTCAGGCCCCTGCCTTATCTTTCCCCAGTTTAAACATTGTATTTGGAATCTAGAAAAGACATGTTTGGTGGCTCTTGCTCTGGTAGAACTCTGAGATAAAAATTATTTCAAGTCTTACACTGCTTAAAATTATGGCTTAGCTGTGCCCGTTTGGGTTCACGATCCTTTGTGTGTACAAACCCTTTTCTCTTGGGTGAAAGGCTCACGTAAGCAGGTATGTATGCTTGCCTACCTAAAGTGAAAACGTGCTTGTTTTTTCTTTTTTTTTTTCCTTTCTAATCTTCCATTTATCACCTCGGATGCTTTTGACTTCATTAGATAAACAACTATTGGGAGGAAGTGTGATTTCAGAGTTTCCATTGGAAAGTACCCAACGACCTTTGTGGTTTTGTGCTTTCAGTGGCTCAGCTTCAGAAACGTGATGAATATTGTAGCTGGGTTTAATTTCTCCACTGCCTGTAAGGGCTTTAGTTTAGGTGTTTGTTTGGTTTAGTTACTCAGCTTTCTTTTACATCTGATGGAGAGCAGTCCTGCTCGGATTTTTGCCACCACTTTTATTTTATCCTGGGAAGTCTGCGCCATCTGTCACAGTTGTTGTTTAAGGACGGGATAACACCATCACACATCGCTCAGCGATGACACAGGAATTCTGGTGGGGCTTAGGAGTGGGAAATGAGTTCCAGAACCTCCAAGGGTGTATCACTGCTGAGGTTCTGTGCTGCTTCAATTGCTAGCCCATCCTCAGCGAGAGCTACAGCCTTCTGGGTGATTTTTTTGGCAGGGATGGGGGGAATTTTTGCCTGTTATTTCGTCACCTTGTGATGATCTTGTCACCTTGTTATTTCGTCATCACCTTGTGATGATCTTAATGCCTGTTAATGATTTCTTTCTCCCTTACAGCAACACTGATTTCCACCTAAACACACCAAGCACAGACCTCTGAAGAGACTTCCCCAGGCTTAACACCGCTCCGTTGGGCAGCTTTAGCTCTTACCCACTTGAGATGAAGTGAAAGTCAAGAACCTCCTGAGGTAAGGGATGGCTTAAGACTTTTATCTCATGTTGGACATCCCTACACTCCAGCAGAAATCATGGCAGATATTTCCTGCACTGAAGGAGTCTCCAATGAGACAACTGGCAACGCCAGTTCCGAATTCAGTTTGGATGCAGACTTCCAGTACTCCTTGTTTCCTGTCATCTACAGCATCGTGTTTGTGCTGGGACTGATGGAAAACATCTTAGCTCTGTACCTCCTGTGCTGCAGAGTAAAGCACATGTCTCATTCCTACGTGTACATGGTTAATCTGGCTCTGGCAGACACCTTGTTTGTTTGTGTGTTGCCTTTTAAAATCCATTACCACCTGAATGGGAACAACTGGATCTTTGGGGACATGTCTTGTAGGGTAACTGGGACTTTCTATTACATCAACATCTACCTAAGCATCGCCTTCTTCACCTGCATTTGTATCGATCGTTACGTTGCGGTGCTGCACCCCTTCACATACATCCAGATAAAAGTCACCCATTACGTGCTGGTGGTCGCAGTTCTTTGGGTGGTCGCTCTAAGTATCGCGGTTCCACTTATCCTTGGAGGTCCCCTCCACAACTGTGGCATGAGGAACACGACAGCGTGTTTTGAGAACTTCGCTGTGAGCAGCTGGACTTATCGCATGGCACCTTACAACATCCTGGCCTTAGTTTTTGGGTTTGTGATCCCATTTTCCATCATTCTGATCAGCTACCCTCTCATTGCGAAGAGGATCTCCCAGATCAAACGCAGCGTTCGCAAGAGGAAGGCCCTGAGCACCATCTACATCATCTTGGTCATTTGTACGTTGTGCTTTCTCCCATATCATCTCACACACCTCCTTCATTTCTTAATGAGAATCCAGGTCATCCAAAATGAGTCGTTTACCAAACTGATCTACAAAATGCGAAGGGTCACCTTAGCCCTCGTGAGTTTCAACTGTTGCCTTAACCCACTGCTCTACTACTACACCTCCTCCAGCAAGCAGTGGCTCTGCAACTTCAGGCTCAGGTTCCGGTCTCAGGTGGTGTACACTGTCTGTGACCAGAAACTGGACAAATTCTCCTACGTTTATAAACTGCAGCAGAGGCCTGGAGAGAAGCAACACCCAGATGGAATCAACTGATCTACTTAAAGTTTGTATTCATCTTCCTCTTTCTACAAACCCAAACCTCTGAAACCTACCATTCTTTCATGCAGTGGCTGTTACTTCAAGGCACCACTGGAGGGACGTGCCGATGGCTATTGCTATTTCTGAGTCAGCCAGGTCAGCACTCGGGGGAGCTGTACGCTCTGACACCTGCTGTGTTTGTGCACGTTGATGTTTTGGGCTCCGTGGCAGAACACGGGGCTCTCTTCTGGAAGGTGGCGAAGCCCAGGAAAGGGTTACTCGAAGGACACCAGCCTCCTCACTCAGGGACACCAAGGTGGAAGGGGCAGTCCTGCTTGGCTTTTCCCTAGTTTGGAGGGATCCTGTGTTTTCTCCCTGGGGGCACACTGCAGCCAGCTGGGTTCAGAAGCTGCCTCCTGCCTGCATTCCACAGCCAAATAAGGGCTTCTTCTCCCTCCTTGCGCATCAATGGATTGGCTTCCCGAGCAGGACTTCAGGCCAGGGTTTCCAGCAGTGCATGCCTGCGGATTCAAGCTGGACAGCTATTAATGCAAGTTTAGAAGATGATAGATCCAAGTATTTATCAGCCAGTGAACCCTGGGCAGCACTGGTGGTGAATGAGCTCCTCTGGCCACGCAGACACTGGAGGAAGCTGCTGCAGGAGCCAGCACAACTCCTCCAAGTTCTCTTTTCAGTCATGTTTTGTGATGTAAACACAGTATCTGACCTGTTTCACCCCTTTCTTTTGTAATTAACAGAACCACACAGCTTCTGAGAACTGCTGAGTTTCCCATCCTGTGAAACATGAGACTCTGGAGATAATTTATCATTTGTGGGTTATCGGAGTCACCAGCAAACCACTGGCCTGGCTGACAAACCTGCTTCAAAGCCTACAGTTTACTTAAGAGGATGTGATTTTTTGGTAACAGATGCACAGACTCACTGTTCTGTTCCTTCCCACACCACACTGAAACTTCGAGCAAGAGCTGCCACGGACCTTAGGGGCGGGAAGGAGGGACTGGGATGATGGTGGCGGAATGGTGGGGGGAGATAAATGACCAGTTGTCGCTGTATGATGTCACTTCTCTTTGCACAACAACAGATGTTGCAGCTTCTGCTCATATTCAGCCACATTCTACTCTCTGGTTAAGGACGGGAGGTAAGAGATTTGGAAAACAAGCAGCTCGGGTTTAGGAGTATGTTGGCGTCATGTTTTATGGGAAAGAAAAACCGCATGATGACAGCAAGCAAGGGTCTTGAATTTGGGAGGCTGTATTGATCACTTGAAGCCAATCAATAAACCACTTCAGCAATGGGAGAGGCATGCAGGAAGCAAACCAAGAGCAGATCTGAATTTATTATAAGCGAGCTAAAGCTCTGTGATAGATGGTGTGTGGGCTGCAGTGTTACATTTGTTGGGCTGCACCTGACCTGGGTTAGTTATTGCCACGTGCTGAATCGTGTTGAATGAGACCGATTAGATGGGTCAGCCACTGACCTCTCCCTTCTCGTGTTTTGCACTTAGCTTGGAGAAATTTTTAAATATTTGTAAGACAATGTGCACAGCCTTTTCTAAAATATTGCAAATAATGATTCCTGTGTTCCTCTGCTTCACTGGGCTCAGTAAGACAAGTGCAAATCCATGCACTTCTAAAATGGGGATGAGAGCCTCCGCGGGACAATTAGGACAAGTTCATCTTTAACCTTTCATGAGATGGCTATTTCTGTCCCATTTATAGGCTACAGAAAAACCTCCCAGCACTGGAGGGCCTGTTCTTTCCACCTAAGCACAACTTTTATGTTCTGGACAAAGGAAGCAAAAATGTTACTTGCGACTCCATCCAGGAGCCCTGCTTTCCTGCAGCCTTGTCAGCTGTCACTGACACTGTAAAAAGTCACTCTGCTGGGTAATTAGCACATTTAGGGCTTTACACTCTTGCCTCCATTATATTTATACTAACATTTTAATTGTGAAGCTTTGAAAGCTCCTTGCTTCTCCCAGCATTGCTGAGGTTGTAAGAGGAATGAGCTGTGGGAGGGCAAGAATGCTGAATATCTTTTCCATTACTGCAAAAGCAACTCAAAGCTTGTTCCTGAGCACTCCAGAACCTGGCTGCAATGACTCCCTGGACAGATTTCCCACGGGGAAGAGTGCAGTTCTGCTGAGCGGTGTTCACCGGCACTGCAGTAACTGGACAAACACTGTAATGCCTTTATTAAAACAAAACCAGGAAAAAAACCACTGACCATGTAAACAAAGAGAACCTGCTGTGCCTGTGGCGCCGCTGCTCAGGCCGTACTTGGTGGCAGTCCTTTCTTCAGAAGGGCCGTGAGATAGCTGCCCAGTTCTTCATCCTAGAGAGAATAAAGAGAATCAGGATGAACAATTTTCTACTCAGCTTTCTCATTTGGGGCAGTAAGTTCAATTTTTGGACCCAGCAAAGTCGAATGTGAGCAGCATTCGAACATGGAACCCAGTCCCGTTCACACAAATGTATTTCTGGGTGTTCTTTCCAAATACCCGTGTAAAACTCCCGTTTGTCAAAGGAGTGTCTGGACATGAGGTGTCTCTTTTGAGGAAAATGACCCATTTTCTTGAAAGCAAAGAATAAAGAACCATTGATTCTATATTTTTGTTCTTGCTTTATCCTCAAGAAGCCATTTCCTTGCCATAAAGAAGGCATTTAAAAATACAGCCATACAAAATATGCTTTTGAAGGGAAAAAACCATAATGACTACGTCTAACCTTAGCACAATATTTCGTGTCCGCCAGCTTTACACCTAAGAAATACAATATAAAATACCTCCCCACCCTGTATGGCAATGGTGATACAGCTGAGAATTTGAAGCTGGATACTGCAGAGTCCTCTGAACACAGACATAACTGTAATTAAGTGTAGTTGTGTTAAGTGCAATTACTGCAGATCGGTTGCCTTGAGTTCAGTGCTCCCAGAGAACACTGGCTCAGTAGGGATCCTGTAAAAGGATTTGTGCTAAACCTAAAATGGTAAAGAAAATGGCAGCAGGTCACCTCATCTTCTTCCAGCCAAATTACTTGGAAGAAAAAGGTGATGAAGACCCTTGCAGTAGCAACCCCTGTTGTGGGACAGGCTGGGACCGTACGGAGTGAAGATCAGAGCTGCTTGCACAGTAGGTCTTCAAGCATTCCTACCTGGTAGGTCCAGGATACAAGCAGAACTTTGGTTCCTTGGTCCTCTGAGTGTGCTGTGGCCTGGATGAGAATGGACTCTACAGTTATGGAACCATCAGGGAGATGCTGCACCGAATAATCCTTCAGGACCCTGGTAAGAAAGAAGACGTACGATTTATTCTGGATGGAGACACACGCGTAATGCTCTGCGGCTGGTCTGGAAGGCCAGAAAGGAGAGGGCACTTCCGCTATCTGTATTAAGAAGGATAAGCTCAAGTCCATCCTTAGGGGGGAAGAGAAACCAAAACCACAGCAAAGACTGGACTTACCCTTTGAGGTGGTTGTAGACACGAAGCACTGTCTCGTGTTCTTTCCGCGGATCTTGGATGTGAACACGGCAGGTGAAACGCAGCTGATGTTCTGCAAGGCCCAGCTCCTTCAGAGCCTGCTCAGGAGAAACCAGGCGGAAGCTCTGCAGAGGAAAAGGACAAATCCACCATAAACTAGTTCTTTCTGTTTTCTCGAGTTCTGTTCCTCTGGCCAGCTGCACGCAGGTCTGTGTTCATCGCTGCCAAACACCACCAGGTGAGATCACTCCCTTTCAATCTCTGCAACATCTCAGCACGTTTCAGTTCCCCCAGGAAGCAGTAACCACTGGTCTCAAGTGTGTGATGGACAGCAAAGGTACAGGTAAGGCGGTTGCAAAACATCCCCCTAAATAATCACACCATGGGACTCGGGCTGCTTATCTTTATGTTGTTCCTTGTTCACCCACAACTCATGACTGAATGACGACAACACACTCAGAGGACACAAGACAAACATAAGATCTTTTTTTACTTACGTTGTCCTTCATAATTAACGTGCCGTGCATTAGCTGTGGCTTCTTGACATCTGGTAAGAGACCTAAACCAAGGCCAACAGAAGAGAAAGACAACATGGTGAACGATGATGTCTTTCCTTTTCAAACAAGACAACTGCTACAGGAACTGATAGATTGGATTTCTGAGTCCCTGCTGAGGAGACTTAAGAGACAAGATTTTATATCTGTTCTGTCTGTTGAAGCACATGGTGCTTAAATCAGAACTCCAGCCACACAAGAAACCATGCCTAGTACTAACAGAACAGCTGCCTCTCTTCCCATATCACCCCCTCATTTGAGAAGTTTTAGATTTTTCTTGACTGGAATTGGTTTTAGAAACCAAAACTTTCACAGACCTAGCTAGTAAAAGCACCCACGGATTTTGTTCCCACAGTGAATGGGCAATGTGTAGCAAACATGGTAGTGTGTGTGTATCTGGTTTTAAACATTACTGAATCCACACTGAGAGCACAGTAGCTGCTTGACTTCATAGGAAGCCCTCTCAGCCACTAAATGCTGGTAAAACCCGACTGCTCCAAGGCACCATTGCTACAAGTGGCCCTGCTAGACCCTTTCCACCTAACATAAATACCATGCAACACGGTGGCAGGGTCACAAAGATTAAATTCTGGGTTGAAAACGTGTCACCTATTGCTGTTTCTCTCTTCAGGAGTCCCAGGGATATGTCCACAGGAATGCTGGGGTTGGTGAATATCGTTGTGGTCTCCCCATTTGCAGGCATGTAGCAGCTGACATCTGGAAGGTGAACAGCCCGTGTCAGGGGGATTGCTGCCGCACCACTGCCAAACCCACACTCGTTTCACCCGCAAACATCCCTGGAGTGGACAGTGCTGTGGTTCTGGCAGAAGCCAAAAGGTAACAGACTGGAACAAAACTGCCTGCAGGTGTACCCTGCCTGCCTTGGCTTCTTTTAGGAGTTTAAAGAAATACAAATTCCGTAAGGGCTGGACTATAACAATGCAAAAATAACCAAACTATTT